GTAATTTCCCTCAGGTCTGCTCTTCCTTATATTAATGGAAAAAATGTAGAAACATCTTATTTTTACGTTCCATCCCCATTTTTTGTTATCTGACTCTCAGACAGCAAATGTCAAGTTTTATTTTCAGGTACAGCATCAATAGCACCAAGCAGCAACACAGTTTTCCCTGTACTGACATAAGCAGAGTCTGACATGCTTGGCTCTTACACCTGGCCTGTCACCAGGTCACTGCTGTTTTCCTCTTTCCCCTGCAGTATTCCACTTTTAGCATGTAGTAACCCACTCTTCTATCCATACTCTTACTTAAGTTGTCCTGCCTACTTGCTACCTCTGGCCGCTTCTGGGTCCCCTAGTCTCCATCCAGCCCTAGACTTGCAGACCAAACTTGCACCACTGTGCAACCAGTTAGAGAAGTCAACTGATCAACTTTCACATGTTCAAACTTACTTTGGGGAGGGGAAGAGTCAGAGTAGTTTAAATCCATCCACAATGCCTCTTTCAGTAGCAGCACTAGCTTGCATTGGATGAAATGTATGTGCAACACCATTGGAGACATTGGAGCCCTCCTTGGGAGAAAAATGGAGTGGGAAGCCCAATAAGCATCATGCTCAACTGAGTCCTCCCAGCCTCACCTCAGGGGCAAAAAGAGAAGAGAAAGCAAGGAGGAGTTGAGGGATTATGGCCTGAAAAAGAAAACCCTGAAGGACTAAGGGCTGTCTGGGATTAGGCCTGGGATGGACACGATGCAGTTCTCCCCTCTGATTGCTGCACAGCACCCACCAGGGGACTGAGCTTTCTGCAGGACTGCTCACTGGAAAAAATCTTGAAGAGACAAAAGTTAGAACCACCCGAGGGTAGGGCTATGTCCCCAGTGGTAAATGTTGCTCTCTTCCTGCTGCAGCATCATTATGAAAACAATTTACTTTATTCTGCCAGTGGTGAGTAACAAACTACAGTTCCTTCTCATCAGCTAAACCCTGGCCACAAGGGTGTTACCCTAACAGTTACTTGCATATTCAAGTTACTGAGCTGCCTCTGAAGGACTGGCAAAGAGCACGTACTGTGGGACAACTGCATGTCTCAGCCAACTCCACGCAAATCAGGATATACCAGGTTCAGGGTCAAAATCCAGAATTCACACCACACTGCAAAAGTTATTTTAAATACCTGAGATCTCAACAGGAGATTAATCTCCAATAGCAGACCGCAACTCATGGTTTCTTGGCAAGCACCATGGAAATCCAGTAAAATAGCTTTAAAATTTAAGAAAATCATCATTTCACCATAACAAAAATGCCTAATGCAAACAGCTTCAGTGGCAAGCATTTGAAAAGGTTTAGGGTTTTGCTGTGTTAAAGGCTAAGCTAGCTGAGAAAAGAGCTGCCCCTTTTTTTTCCCCCATGTTAAAGCCTCGTAACAGCAACCCTGGCATTTTCTATGCGGAAAAGTAACACAACCATACTTTTGCAAAAAGCTGCTAGTGCTTTTTACAGATAGCACAGGCACGGATTTTACTAATCATTGTTAGATTATTATACTGTCACTCACTAACCTTCACTATTTTTTAACTAACTGTGTACAGCCTGGAAGTCTGCACTCTTCTGCAAGATATACGAAGAAATTATACAAACCACCAACAACAAGAAAGTTTGTGCAGAACAAAACTTCTTAAACATAGGTGTTTTGCTGCACAATTTGGTTAGCAACAACTCAGTTAGCAATGACTAGAGTTTGAAAAAACAACTCAGACTTCGGGAGAACTTACACAAATGCAGTGATTTATCACGTGTTGCTAAACCCACCCTATGAGGTTGTAGAGCATCAGTCATACCTGCTCCTGCCTCAATACAACCCTTGTGTTGATATTAACAATGCAAAGGTCATTTTGACCTTTAGCTAGTAACTGGATATCGGTTTGTTCCCATATCACCACTTTCTGTACATTAAAAAACACAGGTGCAGATCTTTCAGTGCTTCAGATTTCACATCAAATGATGTGTGAGCATGTCAGGAACAGGATTAACAACAGCTTTGCTTGCAGAACATTCTCATGAGCATTACTGGGATTTTAACTCCTGCCAAGCCTAAAATGAGCTTTTTCTTATGCCAAATGAAATGTAGCAGAGAGAGTCAGTATTACACTTGATGATTAACCTTCAAGAATCTTCTCTGCACTATCATTAAGGACATTATGAAAGGAAAAGATAGATGTGAGAGCTGCACACTACAGAGGTTCAGCCTCAAAGTTTCCTGACAAAATAGATAATAACTGCAAGTTTCCAGTCCTCGAACGCTAAATTTGAGGGGTTTAGCATTACAGAAAAGCAGAACTGTAAAATTCTATTAAAATATCAGAGGCGAGACAAGATTTATGTGCTCAACAGTGAAACACAAAGCCTTCCCTGGCAAAGCTGACCTCCAAATGCAACAGCAGCCATCCTCAAACTAGAGATCCCCCCCAGACTCCTCACAGCTTTCACATTTCAGATGTCTCAGTGGAAAAATTAGGTTAAGCTCAGCCATGTGCAGAAATTAATCCCAGCCTAGAGGTCTATGTCAGAGAATTCAATGACAATTAACATTACTTGTGAACCAGAGTCTGCAGAGGTGCTCGAGCTGTTAGCTGCTTTCCTGTATCCCTTTCATAACCTTCTGAGGTCGACAGCTACAGGTATCACACTGGCAAGATATACAAAGGAGACCTCTTTCCTGCTGCATGACTCAGAACCAGCAGAGACAGGACTCAAGAAGAAACCACCATTGTCTATACTCCAAGTGTCATTCTGCATGCAAAATACCCTTCTTTTCCAAAGTGCTCTTGATAGAGCAAGAAACAAACCTAAGTCCCCATATAGCCTGTAAAATAAATGGGCCATTTCTATTAAAAAAAGATCATAATTCCATGTTAATTGAGATCAATTAAACTTTTAAGTTCAGAGTTCTCTGTGGATATGTTAATTTCCTAAATTTAAATTTCAATTGTTATGCAGCTCATTTGCTAAAAGTTTGCTGTTTCACTTTGGGTTTTAATAAGGGCATTATTATTTCTAATTATAGTATATTTCTATTGTATTATATTTCTATTATATTATTATATCAGGAAAAACTTCTTAGAAATTGAAAAACAGTAATCTTCAAGTTTCCTAGAGGATGTGCAGACTTTCACTGAGAATTTAAGTCTACTACCAATCAGCTTGCTTTTCTTAAGTAGCTTTTGCAGATCTCTTAGAAGTCATTCATGGTACCCAAAGTATATAAACTAAAGTACTCAGATTAGCAACCATTTATAAACTGTTCTGCTACTGCTCTTCTACAATTAAAGACTGAATGACGGTTTTCATTATTTTTGTTGCTAAGAAACCTGTCTCCTCTCAGACTGTTTGCTGATGGTCCTCATTTACTACAGCAGATTTTAAATAGCATGTTTCATTTAAGCTTCCTTGTTTGTAAAGGCTGTAAGATGTATTTCTGCTTGGCAAAAACGCTTATCATCTCCAACAACATATTCACTGTTCAATGACACACAAGAAACTGTGCTACAGTTTGCATGCAACGGTCTGAAAAGCCCTCCGGCAAGGTCAGCCAACTGCACACCTCAAAGCACAACACAAGCTGCTCCTTATTGACCCCAAGACTTCCACAACTCCCCTCTGAGAAATCCCAAAACTAATAGTCATTCTGCAGAAAAAAAATATAGGTACCCCAGTATCTATGCTCAAACAGATTCTCTATCTTTCTAACATGGCGGGTATCATGCACTTTATTGTTAGCTCTTTTGAGCCATGGCATTTTAAAAGTATCTGAATAAGTTGAAGTTTTTTAAAATTCTAACATGCTTTGAAAGACTGGCATATCCAACATTTAAGTGACAGCAAACGGTTATGCAATTTCACTACAGCTGAACCCCCCGCCTCAAGACTTCTAGCAACACACTGTCACACTGCTGGTTGCCTCAGATGATAGGAGCTGACATCACTCTTCAGCA